TAGATGATAGGTCTGAGGTCAGTTATGGTTCTCAGTCTGCCATTAACCCTTAGCTCTAACTTACGATTGCAACAGATGTCATAGTTTGGGAATGCCTAATGAAAAGAAGTGTCTTATTATATTTTTCGTCAAGTATTTAAAACATTCAATGTTCTTGAGCCATGAAATGAAACGAAAAATTCAATGACGTGTGATTTTAAATGATCAATATTTATTTCCTTTAAATTACAGAATCTGGCAAAAATATGGTTTTATCATATATTCAATAATAATAAATATGGGGGATAAAAAGAAAAATTGTGCTAAATGGCCGTTGACTCTACAAGAACATTTTTCTGTAACTTTAGTAAATAGATCTGGTGCAACCTATCCCTCCGAAGGTAAGACCACAGCCGATGTCCCCCAACTTGAAAGTAAGCCTTAATCTCGGACATGATTCCATCAAAGAAACCCTTGGACCTAGTCAATGACTTCTGTCTAGGAAGGCCTCCGCCCAACGATGCCGTGTCCTCACTACGTTGGCTATAGAACTTATTGTTCTAGATAACCGTTGACTATACAAGAAGGTTCATCTACCCTTTGGCAAGTCTTGTTTTTAATCCTTTTGTGTGTCTAGTCACACTCTGCACTAGACGAGCCACATTCCTTATTTCTGCCAGTTTTAACCTTCACATCTCGGACCCACTATGCCATGCCATGGTGGGCCCGACCTGTGAAGGTTAGAACCCACCCTCGTTCCCTTCGTATTAGTGAGAAATAGTTTCTTCCCACGAACCGCTACCTTGTGGAATCGATTCCTAAGAGGATCATCCTAGGCCACTATGATCTTAACCTGTTAAAATTGGTATTAATCGTCACTTTTCCGACATATGCTCATAAATTGTGCCTATTACACTTACCGCTCATATAACAAGATCCTTCAGTAACCCTATACTACGATTAGCTCTTGGATCTTGTATAGAGGGAACATGACTAAAAAGAAAAGCCTGGTGGGGGATCCGATCTATTAGTCTAAGATGACCCGACTATACGGCAGGTAGTACTGAATTTCATGCTGAGTATCTGCGAAAATCTTTAAAAAAATGAACTAGATGCTCTGCAAATTCTAAGAAATATCTAGTCTAACCAGATCCGGGTTCCTGAAGAAACCTGACCACCCCCTTTATTAGATAGGTTCTAGAACAAGAACACTCAGGTGACACTTTCCACACACTTTTGTCGTTTGCCGAAATCCACGAGAGTTTCTCTATCACATAGAATTTTCCCTCTAATTAAAAATTAAAAAAAACAACAAACAGATTCAAACTTTAAAAGGTTTGCTTACGCATAGTCAGTGTGCAATGTTTAGTGAGGTATCGTGCTATTATTCAACTTACAATCTGCGTATTGTTATTTATTACCTACACAGTGTACTGCTGGTATAAGTTCACTTAGATTTTTTTTTTTACCTATGACGCAAGCAGAGAGACAGCTGCAAAAACTCGGCATCATATTAAAAAGGGCATGCTACTCTTTTAAAATCACTCGTAGTGTTCATAGAAATTCGTGAAATAACACTCCATTAGATGCGATAAATAGTATCTGAAATGAAGATGGAAAAATACTAGTAAAAAATTAATAATAATTGAGAATATCTCATCTAAGAGAGCAGAATAGCTATATTGTCTACTTCTATTATTTATGTATAATAAAAAACAAGAGAAATGAAGATGAAAGAAATACTAGTGAAAATGAATGAATATCTAAATTAACAAGGAGCATTCATCATATAGCTAATTCTCTACTTCTACTTCTTATAGATGGGAGTTGCAATAAAAAAAAGAGAAATGAAGAGAAACAAATACATGAAAAATGAATAAAATTGACAATGTTTCATCTAAGAATAATAGCAGGAGTCATTCAAATTTAGCCATATAGCTATATTCACTACTTCTTTCTTATAGATGGGAGTTGCAATAAAAAAGCAAGAGAAATGAAGATGAAAGAAATACTAGTGAAAAATGAATAATAATTGACAATGCTTCATCTAAGAAGGCTAACCAGCAGGAGTCATTCAAATTTAGCCATAGAGCTATATTCTCTACTTCTACTTCTTATGGATGGCAGTTGCAATAAAAAAGCAAGAGAAATGAAGATGAAAGAAATACTAGTGAAAAAATGAATAATAATTGACAATGCTTCATCTAAGAAGGCTAACCAGCAGGAGTCATTCAAATTTAGCCATATAGCTATATTCTTTACTTCTACTTCTTATGGATGGCAGTTGCAATAAAAAAAAAGCAAGAGAAATGAAGATGAAAGAAATACTAGTGAAAAATGAATAATAATTGACAATGCTTCATCTAAGAAGGCTAACCAGCAGGAGTCATTCAAATTTAGCCATATAGCTATATTCTCTACTTCTACTTCTTATGGATGGCAGTTGCAATAAAAGGCAAGAGAAATGAAGATGAAAGAAATACTAGTGAAAAATGAATAATAATTGACAATGCTTCATCTAAGAAGGCTAACCAGAAGGAGTCATTCAAATTTAGCCATATAGCTATATTCTCTACTTCTACTTCTTATGGATGGCAGTTGCAATAAAAAGCAAGAGAAATGAAGATGAAAGAAATACTAGTGAAAAATGAATAATAATTGACAATGCTTCATCTAAGAAGGCTAACCAGCAGGAGTCATTCAAATTTAGCCATATAGCTATATTCTTTACTTCTACTTCTTATAGATGGGAGTTGCAATAAAAAGCAAGAGAAATGAAGATGAAAGAAATACTAGTGAAAAATGAATAATAATTGACAATGCTTCATCTAAGAAGGCTAACCAGCAGGAGTCATTCAAATTTAGCCATAGAGCTATATTCTCTACTTCTACTTCTTATGGATGGCAGTTGCAATAAAAAGCAAGAGAAATGAAGATGAAACAAATACTAGTGAAAAATGAATAATAATTGACAATGCTTCATCTAAGAAGGCTAACCAGCAGGAGTCATTCAAATTTAGCCATATAGCTATATTCTTTACTTCTACTTCTTATGGATGGCAGTTGCAATAAAAAGCAAGAGAAATGAAGATGAAAGAAATACTAGTGAAAAATGAATAATAATTGACAATGCTTCATCTAAGAAGGCTAACCAGCAGGAGTCATTCAAATTTAGCCATATAGCTATATTCTTTACTTCTACTTCTTATGGATGGCAGTTGCAATAAAAAGCAAGAGAAATGAAGATGAAAGAAATATTAGTGAAAAATGAATAATAATTGACAATGGTTCATCCAAGAAGGCTAAACAGCAAGAGTCATTCAAATTTAGCCATATAGCTATATTCTCTACTTCTACTTCTTATAGATGGCAATTGCAATAAAAGGCAAGAGAAATGAAGATGAAAGAAATACTAGTGAAAAATAAATAACAATTCAGGAATTCGGAAATAACCATGAAATCTAGATTGATAGAAAGAAAGTGGAACGCCAGACGTATGGCTGAGATTAATTAATTGGTAACTAGCCAAAGGAATAGATAATTAGGCCGATAAGGAGGAGGTTTGGTGTGTTAATATGAAGAAAAGCCAGTAAATTGAGGACGTTAGGTATATTGATTAAACAAACTTTAAAGAGATAAGTAAATTTCCGCTACTTAATGATCTGGAATTTGAGATAAAAGCATATGAAATTAATTAAAGAAATACTAGGCAAAAATTATTTTTTTAACAATGTTTCGTTTAAAACATTCGAAATAATATTATCAAAACATCTAAAGATAAAATCACCTAGTCATTCTATATTCTGCAAAATCTTCGGTTGTTTTAAACTTTTTTTTTACGGTGAGATTCACCCTATGCAAGGCCCAGGGACCACTCGAGGTAGATGTTTACAGTAAGAGTCAGTTTCTGTGGATAGAAGGGAAAGGTAACTGATAACCCTAGACTTGAACAGATTAAGATTGTAATGATCGGGGAACTAGTGGTTCGCAGAAAGAAGCTGTTCGAGTGGAACTTCTCATCGATGGAATACGGATGGAATGTGGGTAGTTTGCTCCAATGTGGGTGGCATGGTAGATCCTAGCCCCCATTCAATACCACCAAAACAAAGCTAGTCACGTTTAATCACCAGTGAACAGACCCTAAATTTACTACAGCATGCTGTACTTTAATGGGTGACCATTTGGGAATACCAGTTGCTGTATGCTTGGATGGGCAGATGGTATAATAGGTTTACAGCCACATCACGTTGATACACCGGTTCCCGTACAATCACCGAAGTTAAGCAACGTCGAGCCTGGTCATTACTTTAATTGGGAATAGCAGGTGCTGGTGGGTTAATGAATTATGGCTCGGAATTATTAATTGGAGAGTCGCGTTCCAATTCCTGTTGGATTAGTTATATTCGCTTACGCGCAAATAGCCTTGCTTAAGGTATGAAATCACTTCTTCTTCCCCCCAGGTATGGGTTAATTAGTAAAACTTGTATCGCTAAATCATTAATATTTCTGGAAATAAAATAAAATTGCGTTCAAAATATTTAGATTTCGGCATTAAATGGCCGATAGAGCTTGATATGCCGCTAAACAAAAACAACCCACCAACCACTGATCTAAAAAAAAATAAATTATGAGGGAAGAAGGTTTGGGGAATTTAAAACACAAAGGGAATTTCGAAGACAAGAGAAGCAGCGAGCAATAGAAACAAGATTCTAGCAATCTAAAAATATTTCTGGCTTTAAATAACCTGCAAAGTGTTTGTTGTGATGTGGGGTCAGGCAAGACCCAACACTTAACTCGCCGGATCAGTCATGATAGTAGTATTCAATACTCAGCTAGACATGTCATTGCAATAGTATTATCTTCTTCACCAACAATTACCCAGGACTACTTATCATGAATGTATCAGTCCGTTCATTATAGTAAGGAGGGTAACTGGCGCTTACCATAATCTAGCGTTTTTTTCTTTTATACACTGCCTATTTTTTTCACTCTCTGCCTATCTTTTTTCTTTCACTCTCTAGCTTTCTTTCTTTCTTTCTTTCTTTCTTTCACACTCTGTCAATCTGTCTTTCACTCTCTACTTCTTTCTTTCTTTCACTCTTTGTCTGTCAATCTTTATTTCTTTTACTCTCTGCTTATCTTCATTTCTTTCAGACTCACTTCGTTTCTTTCACTATCTATCTTTCTTTCTCTCTTTCTTTCTTTCTTTCACTCTCAGTCTTTCTTTCTTTTTTTCTTTTATTCTCTGCCTATCTTTCATTGTTTTTTCTTTCTTTCTTTCTTTCTTTCACTTTCTAGCTATCTTTCTTTCTGTCTTTCACTCTCTGCCTATCTTTCTTTCTTTCTTTCTTTCTTTCTTTCTTTCTTTCTTTCTTTCAATCTCTATTTATCTGTCTTTCTTTCACCCTCTGCCCATCTACCTTTCTTTCTTTTTTCACCCTTTGCCTATATATCTTTCTTTCACCATTTGCCTAACTTCTTTCATTCTTTCTTTCACTCTCTGCCTATCTTTCTTTCTTTCACTCTCTGCATATCTTTCTTTCATTCTTTCTTTCACTCTCTGCTTATCTTTTTTCTTTAACTCTCTATCTTTCTTTCTTACTTTTCCTTTCTGCCTATCATTCTTTCTCATTCTACCTATTTTTCTTGCTTTCTTTCTTTATTTATTTCTTTCTTAATTTCTTTCACTGTTTGTCTAAATTTCTTTCTTTCACCCTCTGTCTACCTATCTTTCTTTCTTTCACTCTCTTTCTTTCACTCTCTTTCTTTCACTCTCTTTCTTTCACTCTCTTTCTTTCTTTCTTTCTTTCTTTCATTCTCTAAGTATCTTTCTTTCTTTCTTTCTTTCATTCTCTAAGTATCTTTCTTTCATTCTCTGTCTACCTTTCTTTCACTGTTTGTCTATCTTTCTTTCTTTAACTCTATGCCTATCTTTATTTCACTCTCTACCTATATTTCTGACTCTTTGCTTATCTGTCTATCTTTTTCCATATGTGTATGTATAGATAGACAGACAAAGAAAGAAAAAGAGTAATAGAAATAACCTCTCAGCCTCTATGTGTATAAATGGATCTTTTTTAACCACGCTTAATCTTATCAAGTCGCCACCGGGTTTCCCATCCTTAAAATACGTGTTCTTTGTCGGCTGGACGTCTGAGATGAATACCAACCAATAATGGTCGACAACTTCGCAAAGTAACATGGCGGCTCGATTTGTACTTGTGTGTGCTTCAAAGCAACATGGCTGCCATCTTGGCATCTCATTCATGAAGCTCAACTAAAATACTACCCTTTGAAGAAGCCACCGTGCGCTGGAATTCCGTGATAACACCAGTAGCAGTAATATCAGCACTGTATCCAATTTCACCATCATCGCCATCTGAAGAATTCTCTAATTGCCTGCATTCACCTTTTCTGCAGCACATTTCAAAGCTGTCTTCCCAAAAGCAAGCAGAGTGGCTGTTTTCGCATCGGCTATAATTACAGTCGACTATAGGTATTGCATTAAAATAATATAGGTTAGTTCTTCAAGATTTTATTTTAGAACATGGGGCTTTCAATTCAATATTTCAATTACGATATAATAATGCAAACTATTACCACACAGCAGTATTAATATATGATACTGTAAATGTCTTTCTAATTTAACTTTGTAAATCCAGTTTATCATTAGCTCGAATTAACACAATCGTCTTGACAACGCCTATAGTCTTACAAATAACTTATATTAAAACTGATTTTTTGTCCACTGAATGTTTCGTTCTGTAAAGGACGTACATATTACACTTAGTGGAATCTAATGATATTGAAATTAGTACACATCGTTGTTTTAGTCTTTTTTTTTCTTTTTCGAAAGGATAGATTTGGCACAGCGCCCAAACATTCAGTTAACCTCAATTCCGTCTTGAATCTTGGAGTCATCATGAAGGGATGTGCTCAAGATATCCTCTTGATCCCCATAACAGCTGTATTAGATGTAGATGATTAGCGAATTCTTGGAGGAATTTTCAGAAACCTCCTTAGTTAGTTGAAAACTACGTTCGATCTCCTGAAGGCATTTCAAAGGAAATCATTTAAAATGAGTATGTTGGTTTAGTGTTTCTTATAAGCCACACGTAAAGCTGGAGTTCGTGTAGGCATCTTGGAGGAAATCAGTTAAAAATATTAATAGTACATTGATTTTGGAGTTGCTTTATATATTTTATGATGCGATATATTTTAATATTGATTCATTTGCTTTTTAATTTTTTTCATTTGCTTCAATCTCAAGGGGTATAATGTGAAATTTACCCAGTTTTTTTTAACCTAATAACAGCGCAAATATGAAACAGGCAGTTTGATATTAACTACGTTGAGATTTAGTCTGGCACAAGGCCAATGATAGGAAAATGAGAACTAAAATTTGTATAGGGGCATAAGAAGAAATTGCTATGTTATTGGTCCTGATATGGTATCTCAGCTTCTGTCACTTTCCCATCGCCGTAACGTAGCTTCTCTCTAACATTTCTATAAATATTTTTATGGAAGTTGTTCTGATGAACTTTCCTCTATGCTACCTAGACTTTATGAAATTAAGTGCAGTACTAGATTGGTGACAAGAATTCATCATTTTACTATCGAAAGATGTAACCGTAAGTTCTATGCTAACAGTTTCTTCTCTCTGTGGAACTCTTCTGGCCTCTTACTTTCCAATTAACTTTATTTTTCAAAAATTTAAATGCAATATCAATTGTCATCTTCTGTCTTCTTAATTTATTTTAATTGCTCTTTCTCCTTAATGTTTTCCTCACATTCTCTCACATTCAGTAACCTTTGCGTGGCTTTATTGCCTTGTTTGGGGTGAAATGACTTTAAAAAAGAGATGTTCATCTGATCAAGATTGAATTCACACAGTACAAACAACCATCATTCCACGTCGAGGTATCCACAAAGCTATTTGCTTAGCTTAGTCTAATACAAGACTAGGGAATACAATCAGGATCGAACTGGCGACAGTTTGCTAGACTTTTAAAACATTATTTTATAACAGAGCGTCCGTATTCTTATTATTTTTTGTTATCCTTGTTCTTCATCTTCTTTCTTCGTCATCTTTTTATTCGGCCTTACTTCTTTCTTCATTTTGTTGTTTTCTCATCTTATTATTATTCTGTTTTCATCTTTTTCTTTTCATCTTCTTCATTTTCTTTCTTCATTTTCTTCTTTTTTCTCTGTCCTTCTTTATCTCTTTTCTTCATCTTTTTCTATTCTTTTTCATTTTCTTGTTCTTTCCTCTTTATTTCATCATCTTGTTCTTCAGATTTTTTTTCGTTGTCTTCTTCTTTTCTCATTTTATTCATTTTGTTCTTCACCTTTTTTTCTTCGTCGCTTTTTCTTAACTTTTTACTCTTTTCATCTCTTATTTTTGCTTTTCATTTTTCCTTCATCTTGCTGTTTTCTTCTTTCCTATCTTCTTTTTTTCTTCTTCATATTCTTTTCTTTCATCATCATCATGATCAACATCATAATCAACATTTTCATCCTCTTCTTCTTCATCTTCATTCTTTTACTGATGGAGGTCAAAGGGTACACGGAAGCAGCAAATTTATATAAATAAATAGAACAGGGATTGGGAGAGATGATAAACAGACTAACTTTGCTTAGAGCTACAAAGAACAGAGAGCTGTGGAGAGCCATGATCGACCACCTCCTGAAGGAACATGGTATTAATTAAAGATTTTATCCATGTTTTAATTATCCTTCATATTGCTGAAACGAACGACTACCAGATTCATTCTTCTGGCTTGGATAGGGCTATCCGTTTGGATCTCAAAGACCCAGAGTTTTATTCTCTTGGAGAGATAGACTGCATGATTAAAATGCTTGCACTGTTCTCAGTGGTTCACCTCACCCCTTTTAATGTAAATAGATGACAGGGCAGGAAAAATATACGAATTCATTTCTTCTCCACCACTAGTTATTGACTAAATAGCACGGAAGACTGGCCATTCTCGCCTTTGGTGGTAGCCAGTCTAGGAGACGGATTACTTTGAATTCAAAACTGTGGGGTGTAGGAGGACGACGGTCTTTTATAAGGATAGGTCAGGTCAGCGATTTCTCCTTTCTGCTGGTATGATGTAAATCAGTATATCTTGGGTAAAAAAAAAAATGGACTCCAACTCGTAATACGATATAATAGTACTCTTAGGATCTACTATTGTAGATTCTAAAAGAAATCAAGCTAAAAAATTAAAAGTCATTGATAAAGAAGCTCTAGGGGACATCTACAGACCGACCACGTGCCTGTCTATGATGTGGAAAATTTTAACTGAACAAATAGCAGAGGAAGACGATGCCCAGAAAACCAGAAATGTTGCAGAAGTGAACCAAGGTACAAATGCGTTTCGGCGATTTTGGGATTCGGATCATTTAATTAACATTTCTGAATTCATTTTTTTATTCGCCAATGTTACTCCTTTCTTATTTGTTCTTTCATTTCTTCCTGCTTTAAGGAGTTGCATTCAAGTACTCCTAGGTATTTATGGCGGGCTTTTATAGTTCATGTACTAATTGCTTTGTTATTTGGCAACTCAATTCCGCCTATTTTCACGGACATTCTTTTGTGCATCACTAGTTTTGTGTATTTTTCTAAACCGAATTCCATTCCTGTATCATCGCTAAGATTCTGTTTTAATTATCTCTTTGCAGTTCCATTTTTCCCTGAACAATTTTAGGCGATTCACCTGCATTAGGTGGCTGACTTTCGCGCCGTTTTTATGAATTGGTATCCTCTGTTAAAGCTTTCAAGATTTGTCATATTCATGAGCAATGGTGACAGTGGATCCGCTTGAATTATCTCTTGAAAATTCTGGGAAGAAAATTTCCATCCGCCCTTCTTCTTCTTCTTCTCATTTTTTTTCTTCTCATTTTTTCTTCTCCTCGTCCTCCTCTTCTTCCTCCTCCTCTTCTTCCTCCTCCTCTTTCTTCTTCTTCTTCTTCTCCTCATTTTTTCTTCTTCCACTCCTCCTCATTTTCTTCTTCTTCTTCTTCTTCTTATTATTATTATTATTATTATTATTATTATTATTATCTGCCATTTGTCTTGTCAGAATCTTTTACATCAGAGTTAGGCACATGATCGATCGTTGTTCATTATAGTTTTTATCAGTGCTTTACCATTATTATTATTATTATTATTATTGTTGTTATTATTTTATTATTATTATCATTTGATAAGGCTCGCTTCGCTTATGGTGATGGATCTTGCAACTTATTCCTTCTTCAAGCAGTTATGAAGTTTCCGGACTAGATTCTTCTTCTTCTTCTTCTTCTTCTTCTTCTTATTATTATTATTATTATTATTATTATTATTATTATTCTGTTCTTCACCTCTGTGTCCTTCACCTTTTTCTCTTATTTTCCTTCGGACCTTCTTCTTTTTATATGTGCATGTTTTCCTACTGGACTTTGGCGATTTTGTCTTTTTGCTATCTTTCCTAAAGCCTGATCTGCCATCCATTCACTCAAGCTTACCAGGTAGGTTATGCGTTGATTTCCTTTGTCTCTCTGACCTTCAAACTGTCCCGTGACTATCCTCTTTCCTCC